TATCCGTTTACATAATACTACAGGGTGAGATGAAAAACTGCAACCAACTTCAGGCTGCTCTCATTTCTAAGCCACTCGTCCGACAGCTGTTAAAACTTTTCCAGTGACAGCTCATTATATTGTTAACAAGCGTACAAAAGCATTTTGGTGAGACTTTTCCAGAAAAAAAGTTATTCGTGATGAAATTCAAGCGTGACAGTGTGATTTCTTTATATTTGGCTGGAAAACCACAAGTGACTATCGTTAGAGCACTCCAGCAGTTAAATGTGAGCAAATCTTTTGTGTCTCGTACCATCGCTCGTTACCGTGATACTGTTAGCGTAGCCCGACTTCAAGGAAGTGGATGGAAGAAAACAGCAACATCAAACAGCAGAAATGGTTTGAAAAGTAAAGGAGCGACTTGATCGCGTTGCAGTGGCCGAAAATTGGCTCGTGAACTGAACATATCGCAATATTCCATTCGGCAAGTATTGAAAAATGAGCTCGGGATAAAGCCATTGAAATTCCAAAAAGTGCAAGAACTTACACCGCAACAGAAAGAAACTAGACTCAAAAGAGCTTAAGAGTTGCTTCGCTTGGCCGAATGTGAGGAACTGCCGAATTTGGTTTTCTCCGATGAGAAAGCATTCGTTGTCCAGCAGTTTGTAAACAAACAAAATAATCGTGTTTACTTGCCAAAGAGGTCAGCTGAAAATGTGCACCTTCGGTTGGCCACCAGAATTCAAGCGCCGGCCATGGTGATGGTATGGGCCGCCATAACTGCCGAAGTTCGCTTTCCGCTCGTATTAATCGACATCAGAATAAATGCCGAATATTATCACGAAAATATTCTGAATGGTGTATTAAACCCCTGGGCACGCAAAGATTTTGGCCGCAGACATTGGAAATTCCAACGGGACTCAGCACCATCGCACTCAACACGCGCCACCCAAGAAAGGTTACAAAATGAGGTTCCTCGCTTCATTTCTAGCGCACAATGGCCACCAAAATTTCCGGATACCAATCCGTTGGACTATTATGTCTGGAGTATTTTGGAAAGACTAAAAAAACCAAAGTGTCGATCACCTTAAGCAAGCGCTTTGCCGGGATTGGGCCAAAATACCGCAGAGCAACATTTGGGCAGCGTGTGACGGTTTCATTGGCCGCTTGAAGGCCATAATTCGTGCCAAAGGTGACCATTTCGAACAAATCTAAACTTATTCTAAAATTTGATGCTGTTTCCGACATTTTTTGCTTTCATTCAATAAAAATAAAAAAAGTAAAAATTATGGCTTTTCACTTTTTTGCAAAAGCGACTGATAATTTTTTAAGTTGTGTAAATTCCATGTCCTATTTAATATATATTTTGGCTTAGATAAATGTTATGTGTTATAAATTTAACAAGTCTATAAACAAATAGTAGAAATTCGAAAAAGTGAGCAATAAATTAGCACTGGATCGAAAGTTCAGTGAACTGCATTGGCATCCGATGTTTGTGCTCAAATTAAAAATATATCAAGGCATGTATCATGGTACAATGAATTCAAGGTAGGGCAGAACTACCATATGATCTTCATTTTTTTATTTTTCTGGCTTAATATGTCAACTTCATTTGTTTACGTGTGTGTATTATTTTCAATAATAAAAAAATTGTTCAGAAAATATTCAAATTCGGGTGTTTTCAAAATGATTGCGACGTAGGCATCGACAAAATCTACAGTTTTTGTCGTGAAATAAACCATAAGAGATATATAGAACATGATTTTGAAAAGGAATTTTGTCCTTTCATTCAGTTTTCGCGGTTTTAAATTATTTATTCAAAATCAATGCAACAAGCTGTTTGTTTTTATATTGTTTTGATAGTAATTCTGACATTACAAGCCAAACAGGTAGACCTCTATACTTGTGATTTTTTCAAAGTTTGCCTACCTTGTATTCATTGTACCATGGTATGTATATTATAAAGCAAATTGTGAAAATCCGTCATTGTTCGTAAAATTGAAATAAACTAAACCCTGGGTTGATTTAATTATAGTGCAGCTTCCGAAAAAGTTCTCATTTAAAAAAACAACAACATTATAATATTTAAAGTAGCTTTACAAGAAAAAAAAAAAAAAACATCTGTTATAAAATAAAAGTGATAAACAAATGCTCATTTTAACATTTTTATAATTATACTCTAATACAACAACATATTCTGGAAATGCTGGTGTTTATTTTATAAAGGAAATACGTCACAGTAAACAATAGAACAAATACAATACTAAAAAAAAAACAAAATTGAAAATGCTGTATTATATCTGCGTGGCAAAATTTCATTTCAAGATAAAAAAATATCGTTGTCAAACAAAAAAAAAAAAAAAACGATGTCTGCTTTTGAATTGTTTTTCTCTTCAACATACAATATTTACTACCCCCTCCATTACTAAAAAGCACATACACCAAATAATTAATTAAAACCCGTCACAACAAACTTTTAATTGAAATGCAAGACACTTCAAGCTAAATAAAAACGATTTACGGCCATCAGAATTTCCGTATTCATAATATTTGAACAGATATCCATATGTTTGTAGAGTATTGGGCACAATAGCAAATCATAAGAATTGACTACCTATAATTGGGAGCACGGTACACTTAATTTAAGGTAACCGCATTTCAAATTATTATATCCAGCTCTGCATTTTCTGTTAAATTGCCAAATTGAAGCATATGGAAACCAAGTTCCCATCTCTCATTTGTGTATGTATGGTGGATTTATGAATATACATTTTGACCATATGAGGGTTTCAAAGACATATGTTTGCACGGTGTTACCTTTCAAATTTGTTTCAAATTTGGTATTTGAAGTTCGTAATGGATACTAGAGCCTATGACAGAAAATTGTGTGTGCAGGCCCACGTCTTCATATAGCCCCCATATAAAGGTACCTCCCTATATTCGGTATTTTGCCGATTTTAGCGATATTATTCACCGAAATTGTTTCAAATTTGGTATTTGAAGTTCGTTATCGATACTACAACCTATGACAGAAAATTGAGTGTGCAGGCTCACATGTTCATATAACGGTACCTCCAGATATTCGGTATTTTGATGATTTTAGCGAAATTATTTACGGGAATTGTTTCAAATTTAGTATTTGAAGTTCAAAATGGATACTACAGCCTAAGACAGAAAATTGTCTGTGCAGGTCCACGTCTTCGCATAGCCGCCATATAACGGTTCCTCCCTATATTCGGTATTTTGACGATTTTAGCGATATTATTCACCGAAATTGTTTCAAATTTGGTATTTGAAGTTCGTTATCGATACTACAGCCTATAACAGAAAATTGAGTATGCAGGCCCACGTCTTCATATAGCCCCCATATAATGGCATCTCCCAATATTAGGTATTTTGATGATTTTAGCGACATTACTCACCGGAGCAGTTTCAAATTACGTATTTAGAGTTCGTAATGGGAACTACAGTCTGTGACAGAAAATTGTCTATGCAGGTCCAGGTCTTCGTATCGGCCCAATATATCAGTACCTTCCTATATTCGGTATTTTGACGATTTAAGGTACAATACCCAATGAAATTATTTGAGATGTCGTATTTGAAGTTCGTAATAGAAGCTACAGCTTGTGACAGAAAATTTAACGGAATTTATTTTATGAAAATGTCTAAACTCGTTCCATATGGTGGAGGGTATTCAAAGTTCGGCGGGGCCGAACGATCTGTTGTAGGGAAGCATTTGAGACTAAAAATTTAAGGGGAAATAAAAGTACGTTTGTATATAAACGGGTTAACCAACTGGATTTGGATAAAAAATGTCATATCCATTACCTATACTTCAAAGAAATCCTCTTAAAGTAGGTTAAGACTGCATTGCTGATATAAACATGTACAATCCAAAGGTTCTGTTATTGTTACCTTTTGATACCTAAATAAAAAAAGTAATTCAAATTAGATAGGTAAGGACACTTTTGAATACAATAGGGTCCTTTCTATCGCAAAATTTTCCCTTTAAAAAACTATTTTATTTACGCTTAGTACGAAATCTCCTATTTACTAGGAAACATATTATATTGAAATTAAAGGAAAAATAAATACAAAGGTCCTATGACAAATTTTTGGAGGCACAGATTTTTAAATATTATAATATTAATATACTCTAAGTCCACATATAAATTCCTATCAAAGTCCACATTAAATGTTCTCCCTCTAAAAACCAAATTTAATTTTTGCAAGGGTAGCTAGGTTTAATAAACATATTTTTCCTCATTGAAGTCTAGACGGCGCGTATAACAACCTCGTGTCTTTGCTTTATGCTAGGCCATTGACATGTTTCAATACTTCAGTTCACAGAAAATGACAGAACAAACAGCAATTCAGCAACATCATACGTTTATTGTTGAGGTGTCATTTGAGGCTGCCACGGTTTAAAAATCCCTCTTATATTACATTGACCTTGGCTGAGCACAGCACAAGCCAGCACTTTTATGCAGTTCATATTTTGTTAGATACGTTTTAGGTCTGTCTTAGGAAATATAAATTGTCGAAATAAAACATATATACGCGTAGAAACACTTGACTGATCTGTCAATTTAAGTGGAATGGGTGGGCATTTACCTACTATCAATTATATGATTAGTGCTGGTTTTCGACCATGACAGAAAATGTTGATGATGTTGCTGAGACCGGCCTTAAGGCCACACAATCAAATACAAGACTTCGCTTACATTGTCCGAATTCAATGTCAATGAACGTTAAATCTAAACAAACAAGCAAAAGTCGTACACAGGAAAGAATTTCGTTGTTGTCATTCCCACCATCTCCCAGAACCACCCATTTCCATCCCAAAAATTTTTAAAAACCAGTTTGCTACAGGTGTTGGGAATTTTCGCGACTTCTTCCTCATAAGCAAATAAACAGAATTTTCGAAACCTCATTTATCATCATCACCATTTACAAATCGCCTAAAGCAAATGTTTAATATCGTGAATAAAAAATATTAAATCAATTACCAAACAACTCACCTCATATATGGGCAATTTATCAGAATTCCATTGAGCTATGCGCTCAGAACTCTTATCCACAACTGTCACTGTTATGTCGGGGCATTTCAGAGCCATTACAGAGCACGTAGGACCACCAACATAACCCGCGCCGATACAACAAACTTTCATAGCACTCATTGTTATGTTCTAATTTCGACAACTATTCTCTTTAAAATATCTCAATTTCTGCTATTTCAAAATTTTGTTTTTAATTTGAAACTTGTGTATCGTTTGGTGTTATCTTTAAATTTCTTAGAAGGCAGGAAGTTCTTTAATTGAATTTTTCTTTTCCCGTCGTTGTTGTTGTTGCTATACAAAGAATATAAAAGGGGGAGAATAAGGGGGTTAAGCACAACTTTTCTTTTTCACTGGAGAATTTGAAGGGATTCTTCTGCTCTCTCGATGTATTTCTTGTTGCAGGCAGATTTGTATGTGTCTGATATTTAGAATTTCAAAAGATATTATAATTTTTTTATATTTGGTTGTAGTTTTCATTTAACATTTCATCTTCTTGTAGTTAACAGCAATCTTTTACACTTGTTAAGCGAACCGAACTCATCGAACTCTTCCTTTCCGTCACTTTATTTAAATTAAATATGTGTGATTCAGGGGTACGCAGATCGACTGTGAAATATGTGTGATTCAGGGGAACGTAGATCGACTCTTTAACACAGTTGCCACAGTTGATAGATTCAGGGGCACGTAGATAGACTTTTTTGGCACATTTGGCATATTTTTTTTTACCAATATTGGTAATTTTTTAGGGTTGGTAAATTTGTTATCTAGAAACCTTTTACCCCTCCAGCAAAACTTGTCCAGTTCCTCAAACAAATTTCATAAAAATCAATATTTTATTTTGTCATTTTGCAAAAAAAAGAAGTTCACGATTACAGATCTGATAATTTTCTGAAAAAAAAAAACGATTATAGCTCCAATGTTTTTCAAAAACGTAATTTAAGAAATGTACGATTATAACTGTGAAAACTATTTAATCATATCTAATAAAAAAATATTTAAAGGAATGCCCTCGAATATATTCTTAAAAATCCACGACTACAACTATAATAGTCCCCTAATGAATATTCCTAATGGTTATGGAAACAGTGACATATCAAAGCTTTTCGAAAATGGACGAGAGCTTCGAAAATATTTATAAAAACCCTAATTAAAATGAATACGTTTGAACACGAACGATTCGAGTGAAAGCAACTTTTTTTGCGATTCAAAGAACGAGAACAACAAACTGTTATAGAAAACACTTAGCACATGTGCTTCCCATGGTAGAAGAATATAGGTAGACGCGTCGACACAGCTGCTGGGACAATGAACTGTCAAACCAATTTTGGAATTGAAAATGTTGAATGAAAAATTATTTAAATTTGTAAAAATTGTTGAAAAACGCGAATTATAATAGCCTCCGAATGACGTAGAATAAGAAAACATATAAAATTCTACTTATATTTGAAAAAAAAAACATTTAATTTTTTTGACATATCAATGCTCCCAAGCGTTGATGCATCTACCTGTATTCTTCTGCCATGGTGCTTCCATAGCAACTCTTGTTAGAAAAACAGATGTTATTATTTCCTAACGACTTATTGTTGCTGTTGGCAACAATTTTGAAAATTTCAAATTTCATTTTATATGAAACGATTGTCGTACAATATTTTAATTTCTCCTTCTATAAGTAAATAAATAAAAAAAAATTATTGGAAAATTTAAATAACGAACATGTCCTCGGAGTTAGTTGAAACGAAACGTTTGGAGCCTCGTGCAATTTTCGGCATAAATGGCAAAGTTGAATTTGGTTTACATTTGCATCCGGATAAACGTTATATTGTCTATCCATTGGGCACCAAGATCGGCATCGATGATACAAAAACAAATAAACAAGAATTTGTTGGCGGTCATACTAACAATATTTCATGTCTGGATATAAGTCGAAGGTGAAATAGAATGTGAGATTGTTGAATAATATTTTCAATAATAAGAAATTCTTTAATATTCAAGTGGTCGCTTTATGGCGTCGGGGCAAATAAATAACATGGGCTTTCCGGGCTATGTAATTCTGTGGGACTTTGAACAACGCAAGGAATTGGCCCGGCACGATTTGCATAAGGTAAGTTGATGACTTAAAATGTCCATTATTCAAAGAGTTTTAAACCTTATAGCACTTTTAAAAGAATAATTAGGGACTTAAAATGGAGATTTGTAAAAATTATCATGGATTTCAAAGTGAGATTTTTGGAAGGATTTAAGGACCTACAATCGCGGTCTTTTAAAGCACTATTCGAATAGTATTAGTTAATTTCCAATTACTAATAAAAATCCCTACTAACGCTATATTTGTTGGTTTTTTAAAGGAAAGTTTTGAAAGGGCTATGAAATTGATAATCGCAATTTTTTAAAGGACTATACCAAATATAATACTCAATTCATAACACCAAATGTGCTATAAATTTTTATTTTTAATTTTATCTCGTTGTAGGTCCGTGTCCAATCTATTTGTTTTACGGCCCATGATAAATATGTGATATCAGTTGGTGGTCGAGATGATGGTTCTGTAATAGTTTTTGATATTGCAACACTGTAAGTTTTATAAGTCTTGCAGAACAAAATTGTTCTTAATTAGCCTTAGTTTTCTTTAATTAAATTGTCAATTTTCTTACTTGTAGTACACCCATATGTAGATCAGTTGCTTCCAGATCCATTAATGGTAACGCCATAGTTGTGAGGGCTTTACAGGATAACCCATCGTTCTTCATAACAGCTGGAGATCGTAAGTTTGGGACAAAATATAGACTGAGAACAAACCCGGAAAATTTAATATTTCCCTCCTAGGTCATCTTCGCATTTGGAGTATACAGCGTGAGATGAAAAAGGTCAACGTGCACGATGTGTATGTGGGTAAACATCAACGACGTTATACGAGCATTTCCATTGATCTTCGTGATGAATATGTTTATTTGGGAACATTTAGTGGCGATGTTATCAAAATTATTCTCAATTGTTGCGACTCGGCCAATGTAACAAAGGCGGGCACATTTTCCTCTATGGTGGGGGCATATGGCACACATAATCCCCGCAAACCATTTGGAAAAGATTGTAATCGTTATGTAAATGGCTTGAGAGTGGTTTATATTGTCGATGACGGACTGCTGCTAATGGGTGCCGGTGATGGGGTGTTGGAATTGGTGGAGGAGCGCAAGGATAGAAGTTTTAAAAATTATCCCAGTCCCACATGGCCCATGTTGAAAACGGTAAGAGGGAGTCATGGGGGTGAGGAAGTGATAAAAAAGAAATGTATAGCTGAGTCTTCTTTCCAGCTCAAAAGAACCAAAGTCAATGGAGCAATTACCTCAATGGTTCAGATCACACCTATCGAATATTACATTGCCACGGAAGCCAATGAAATATATTTGCTGAACATAAAAATGTTTACTTTGAAACTGCTGAAGACCTCACATCGGGAAGCTGTGCACAATATTGTTTTCCCCAAGTATGTAGAAGGGGTTCTGGTTTTGGAGATATATATTTTTAATACAAATTTATTTTTTCAAAGAAATCTTTCTTCAGTCTTTGCCACGGCCGGCTATGAAACCATACGAATTTGGTCGACGAAACGTCTGCAGGAATTACTGCGAATAATGGTATATAATTTCCAGTGTGCAGATATTGAATTTACCAACGACGGCAGCAGCTTGGTCTCAGTGTGGAATGATGGTGTAATACGGGCGTTTACTCCGATAACTGGGAGATTAATTTATGCTATACCAAATGCCCACAACAAAGGTGAGGGTGTGATATTTCCATAGGGGAATTAAAAAAAAAAGAAAATCAACTTTATTCCCTTTTCAGGTTGCAGTGCCTTGTCTATATCATCTACCGGTCGCATTATTGTCACCGGCGGCATTGAAGGGCAGGTTCGTGTCTGGAAAATTGAACCATTTTGTCAAAGCCTTGTGGGAGTGCTGAAAGATCATTCGGGACCCATAACATCGTTGGACTTCAATAAAAATGATACCGAAGTAATTTCGGCCAGCTGTGATGGTTGCTGTGTGATATGGGATATCAAGTAGAATTGAAAATCTTATAACAAAAAATTGAAGATAAAATTTTATTTTTAATTTTTTTTTTTCAGTCGCATGACTCGTAAAAATGTCATTACTGCAAATACTCAATTCATGACAGCCAAGTATTTTCCGACTGGTGTGCAAATCCTTACCTGTGGCACGGATGGTCGTATACGTTACTGGGCCGTCTATAATGGTAGTCTAATTCGTGAACTTCAAGGTTCAGGGAAATCATCTGTGAATCACATTGATATAAATCCGACGGGGGATTATTTTGTTTCCGTTGGCAGTGATCAAATGGTGAAAGTGAGTTAAAAAAAGTAGAGTTTAAACATTTTTTCTTCAAGGTCTATCAGAGATATAAACATAATTTTGCACAACATTTTAAATTTTTAATATACCTTTTTACAAGAACTATCACAGCCATAATTGAGATTGCCCAACACAATTTTGGCTGGACTTTTTTTTAGATATATTTGAATGAACGAGGATTTCTTGAATATTTGTTTGCAGGAATTATAAAAGCAATAAATCTGAATGAACTATGCATTTAGGATTCTTCTGAAACATATACTATCTTCCTCATTTTTATCTTCTCTATTTAAAACAGATTCTTCTGAAACATATACTATCTTCCTCATTTTTATCTTCTCTATTTAAACCAGCTTTGGGAATACAATCGTGGTATTGTGGTTGCTCAGGGCTCTGAACATGCCTCGGCGGTAAAAAGTGTGGCCTTTAGTCCCTGTGGAAAATTCTTTGTATCTGGATGCTCGGATGGTTGTATTATTATATGGGATGTTCCAGAGGTAAGCAAACCAAAAGAGTCCTCAATATAGTAACTGTTAAACTTCAAATTTTTCTTTGATAGAATTGCGGCTCAAACGATCCCCTAGTGGATTTCAATAAATTGAAAATATCTTCAAATTATAAATCAGGAAACATGGAACAGAGAGCCAGTGCTCGCGGCAATCACAGTCAACGACGGGAAAATATAACAGAACTTGTGGCAAATACTCCCAAAAATAATGTCAATCTGATAGAGTGTCCCCCAGTGGACATGCAAAAGATAATCGATGTAAATTGTGGCAACCAACAGATGGATGTTAAAAAATGTTGAACATAAGAGACTGAGACTTATTTTTATAAAAGAAAAAATCATATATTTTTATATTAATAAAATTACATACGTACACACAATCAATTTTAGTTAACAAAAAATTTAAGAAAATTTTTTCATTTTAATTTGAGGATGCCGCTTTTAATTTTTGTTACTGCTTTTCTTTTGTGCCTGCCTTGATTTCCTTCTTACCATCTCGTCTTTGGCATGTTGATCCCTTAAGGCTTTCTTTATCTCAATATCATCTGCCCAATTCTTTGGTTTTGGTTCATATTGTTCTTTTTCGGGTCGGAAGTTATTGGGCCCATGGAAAAAAGTGGTTTTTCCATCTCCCCAAGCAAAACGCTTCAAACGCCTGTACATATATTCATGGGGCACAAAGGTACGTTCCCTATCATCATGCTGTGTTAGCACATAACCCGAAAGTCCACCAATTAGTGGCAGCAAACAATAGGAAATTAAACGGAAACATTTACTATTGCCCTTGGGAAGTTCAAAAATATCACATTTATCATGGATATAGGATGACGACTCATCTTTTTTACTTGGATGTTGATTCTTGCCGCCTCCAGTGGCAGATGATTGACATTTACCTCCGGATACTGTGGTTTTTGATTTTTTACCTTTCGATAGCCATTTGTTGTTTTGTTTGGTGGCATGGGGTTTCTTTTTAGTATTGGGGCCTTTGCTTAAGGTGTCTGAGGATTTGGCCGCATTGGAATACAACTTATATGTAAAATTTCGCATAACTGGCATCAATGAAGAAAAAGGTTTTGATATTATATAAAACATTTTTATTTTATAGAATTTAATTTTATTGAAAAAAAAAAAACAAGATATATTTCTAGAGAACAGAATTTAAATAAAATATTTGTGAAAGACAAAACATTTTTGACAATGTTTCATTTTCAAAACTTTTCAAACCTTTCAAAATTTATTCAAAGTATATTTAACCACGTTGCATATTTATCGTGGTTAAAGTCGCTTATTTTTTACAATGGCTAAGAATTTAACCAATGTGGATTTAACAAAACATGGATTTTTAATAAATTTTTTCAAGGATTTATTCGAAGTACGTTTAAAAACTTTGCATAAACAGGGTGAGATGAAAAAACTGCAACCAACTTCAGACTGCTGTCATTTGTAAGCCATTCGTCCGACAGCTGTTAAAATTATCCCAGTGACAGCTCATTATATTGTTAAGAAGCGTACAAAAGCATTTTAGTGAGAATTTTCCAGAAAAAAAGTTATTCGTGATGAAATTCAAGCGTAGTGTGATTTTTTTTTTAATTTGGGTGGAAAACCACAAGTGCATATCGTTAGAGCACTCCAGCATTTAAATGTGAATAAATCTTTTGTGTCTCGTACCATCGCTCTTTACCGTGATACTGGTAGAGTAGCCCGACGTCAAGGAAGTGGACGGAATAAAACAGCAATATCAGCAGAAATGGTTCGAAAAGTAAAGAAGCGACTTGATCGAAACCCGCGTCGCAGTTGCCGGAAAATTGCTCGTGTGCTGAACATAAGTTCGAAAAAGTTCGGTTGGCAACCAGAACTCAAGCGCCGGCCATGGTGATGGTGTGGCCAGCCAATGGTCGCTCTCCGCTCGTATTATTCGATCGTGGTATCAGAATAAATGGCGGATATTATCGCGAAATTATTCTGGAGGGTGTATTAAAGCCTTTGCACGCAAATATTTTGGCCGCAGACCTTGGACACTCCCACAGAACTCAGCACCATTGCACTCAGCACGCGCCACCTAAGAATGGTTACAAAATGAGGTTCCTCGCTTTATTTCCAGAGCACAATGGCCACCAAAATTTCCGGATACAAACCGTTGGACTATTGTGTCTGAAGTATTTTGGAAAGCAAGGTTGGCACTAAAAAATACCAAAGTGTCGATTACCTCAAGTAAGCGCTTCGCCGTTAATGTGTCAAAAAAAACCGCAGAGCAACATTCGTGCCAAAGGTGACCAATTCGAACAAATCTAAACTTATTCTAAAATTTGATGCTTTTGACCACATTTTTTGCTTTCTCACCCTGTATTTTGGGTCTAACAATCATGGATGTTTAAAATGACAGAGTTAAAAGAACGTGGATTTTCCAACAAATTTTTCCAAGGACTAAATAACATTCCAACAAACATGGATTTTTAACAAACTTTTTTTTTAAGGATTAAGAGTTAAATAAAAAATGACAATGACTCAGTTTAACATTTTTTTTTACAATTTCATTCAATTCAACGACTACCAGTCTAATAAGCTTGGATTTGTAAACCAATTTCTACAAGGACTAGATACCCATGGTAAAAATAGTTGTGTCTGGTTACCCTAAAGTTTGTAACAATTGTTACAAATTGTTACTGGAAGTCGTCTGTTAACCCAAAAGTTCTGCAAAAGAGAGCGGTTGGAGAGAGAAATTTTGACAGTTCTTTCAGTGAGAGTTTGCAAATTCTTCCCAGCGGATTTTTTAGCACATACATCTTCCATCTGAGACCAATGTCAATGTAGGTGCGACCCATCCAAAGCCTGTATACAATTTCTACTTACATTTACACAGCGATGGCCTAGGCCGTCAGACGAGTCCGAAATCTACCGACAATGTAAGCGAATGTTGGATGGGTCCGAAATCGACCGACAATGTAAGCGAATGTTGGATGGGTCCGAAATCTATCAACATTGTAAGCGAAGGTTGGATGGGTCCAATTCCATCAACATTTTAGATTGTGGAACTTAAATTTCAGCTGTTTTTTTTATTAAAATATTCGTATTATAGAACAGTTTTTCAACAATAAAATATTCTTATTATAATTAGAAATAATGCATAAACAAGAAATTCATAAAAGTTATTAAAAAGACGTGGGAGGAAACAAAGCTTAAACTAAAGAAAGAAAATAAATTTTTCCTGTTTTTTTTTTTTATTGTAGGACATTGTTCGGAAGTGTCTGGCCTTAATTTGAAACAATTTCTAATTTTTTGGAGTAATCCTGTTTATTGAATCCTTCACATCGGACAGCTTCTGAAATAAGGATAGAAAATATAGAACATTTTTTCATAAAAGTTTAAATTCCTTAAACGCCTTTTTATTTCGGGTACCATCATAGTTGTAAGATAATATTATAGAAATGTCATTAATCTTGCCGAAGTTTTTAATAAGGCCATCTGGTGCAATTATAATTTTTATGATACTATACTGAAAAAAATTAAATTAGTAATGGATTCTAACGGAGATTTTTTAATATTCTTACATATTTTCCAAAATCTTCTACAATTTTGGCATGCATGGAATCTGCTCATTTAGTACAATATCATTGTTGCCAAACAGTCCGTCCTCAATTGTGCATTTCTTTTTAAATTGTCTGCTTCCACTTTCTTTGATCGTCTTAAATTTCTCCTACTGAATCCTAACATTTTATTTAACTTATTTAACACACAACACTTACTATATTCTTATTTTATTAATTTATTTTATTTTATTAACTTTTTTTCAATATTCACAACTTGCACTTTCAAAAACACTTCACAGAATAAAATTTTGCATTTAAATAGAAAGAAGCATCAAAAATGAATAACAACAACACAAAAAAAAACTTTACAAAACAATACAAAGGCATCCGATTCAGATGCAAGTGCGATGGACACATTTTATTATATTTTGTTTTGTTCTTTAATTCTAACATGGATTCTGTTCCACAATGTAATAGCAATGCGACTCATCCAAATCGGATGCTAGTTGTATGCTATAAACCACTGTTATTTCATTTTTTCCTATTGACAAAATAGCATACATTCGGATGGGTATTAAATTGTAATGGCGAGCGGACTGCTGGGTTGCTGGAAAAATTTCTTCTTGCAATAGGTGTGTCTGGTTACTTTTCCAGCAGGAATTGTCCAGTAACTTCTTTCTGAGAGAGTAAGGTAGTTTTATTCTCTTATGTAAGGAAAATGCGAAAAGTAAACAGACGCTATTCCTGCAGAAGCTTGCAACTAATCAGCTGATTTGTCAAAACAAACCAATTTGTCCCCCATAAGGAGAATTAAAACAAAGGAACCAATACTAATTTTACAAGTTTTTTAAATAAAAATGTTGGAAATAGTCTTTTATTTTCTTATTACATATTAACATTTACGTTTTTCACATTTTGTAAAGTTGTTCTCCAAAAACAATTAGTCTTGCTAATTCCAAAACAATATTTTCAAATTAAAATCACAAAAAGAAATAAATAAACAATAGAAAACATCTGATTAAATGTCGATGAATGAGAAGAAGAAGAGTTGCAAGAAGAAATTTTTCCAGCAAGAATTTGCAAACTCTCACTGAAAGAACTGTCAAAATTTCTCTCTCCAACCGCTCTCTTTTGCAGAACTTTCGGGTTAACAGACGACTTCCAGTAACAATTTGTAACAATTGTTACAAATTTTAGGGTAACCAGACACACCTAATCACTTGCAACTCTTCTTCTTCTCATTCATCGACATTCAATCAGATGTTTTCTATTGTTTGTTTATTTCTTTTTGTGCTTTCAATTTGAAAATATTTTTTTGGAATTAGCAAGACTAATAGTTTTTGGAGAACAACTTTACAAAATGTAAAAAACGTAAATGTTAATATGCAATAAGAAAATAAACGACTATTTCCAACATTTTTATTTAAAAAACTTGTAAAATTAGTATTGCTTCCTTTGTTTTAATTCTCCTTATGGTGGACAAATTGGTTTGTTTTGACAAATCAGCTGATTAGTTGCAAGCTTCTGCAGGAATACCGTCTGTTTACTTTTCGCATTTTCCTTGCAAAAGAGAATAAAACTACCTTACTCTCTCAGAAAGAAGTTACTGGACAATTCCTGCTGGAAAAGTAACCAGACACACCTAATATCTTTAAAAAAGAATTTTTGACAGTCCATAAACTATTAGAGCCATAATTGCGGATTTAAAAATGCAAGGACGAAAAGTTTCAAATTCATGGGGGTTAATATTTTTTTATAGACTATAAAAGCTATAATCTTGGATTTTTAAAAAAAGTTTTGCATAAACTTACAGGGCTATAATCGGGGAATTTTCACAATAAATTGTCAAAGCCTATTCGAGTTGTTCTCGTGGATTTCTTAACTTTTTATTTCGTAAAACTTAAATAATTTTTTCAACTTTTGAACCATAAACACAATCATCTTCTTTTATGTCCTCCCCTCATGCCTTGCTCTACGCCTCTCCAATTCTTCTCTGGCATGTTGTTCACGCAATTCCCGTCGCTTTTTCAGATTTTCTTCCTCAGAATTGCGTTTCAATTCCGGCTTGTAGGTTTCTTCATTTGGCAAAATATTATTGGGGCCATGGAAAAATGTCTTCTGACCATCACCCCAGGCATAACGTTTCAAACGTCGATACATATGAAGGGCTCACTGCTATACCGAACCAAGTCATGAAAAATAAAAAATGCCGAAACTAGTGCCAATGTCCCCGCATATGGCAACTCTGTTTACTCTGTAAAGCACAGTGTCAAAAAGTGTTTCGTTCCAAAGATAACGTTAAAAAACCTAAGTCAACGACTGTCATTTTCGTTTTTATTCAAAGCAAAAATGAACCAAGTCAGTGTGTTTCACTTTGAATCAGTGTATATATGGATATCAGCAACGATTCAATGTCGATTTAGTGATGTCCAATCATCTGACTGTCCATCTGTAGAAATCACTCTAGTTTCCGAGCCGTTTGAAGTAGGTTGATAAAATTTTACTCAGGTAGGTTGAAGTAGGTTGATAAAATTTTACTTTTTGGTCTACAGGGTTTTTGGTATTGGAAATGATCGGTATTTTGATGACTTTAACGACATTATTCACCAAAATTTTTTCATATTTCGTAGTCGGTATTATGATGTTTTTGCGATATTATTTACCGGACTTTTTATGTTTCCTATTTAAATATTGTAATTGGCTGTGCAGGTCCACGTTTTCGTATATACTCCCATATTACGGTAACTCCCTATATTCGGTAATTTTATGATTTTTAAAAGTATGTTTTAATAGCCAAATTCTTTCCAAATTGTAGAGGGTATTCAAAGACCGCACTTACTGCTTTTTTATTTGAGATACTTCCCTAATACACATAAAATCTTAGTATGGACACAATTACAAGAAAATCGTACTTTTATGTCCAATTTTATGCGAAACCATAAATTCCATATTCATCTCATGTTTCTGGTTGAGAAAAATATTTAGATATAGCAAGTTGAAAAGAATCACCGACTTGTTTCGCAAGTTATGACAGATAAAGGTATTGAAAACTTGACCCCTTGTGGGTCATGTACCGGAAGGGGTTCGCAGATATATACCATCTTCACAACAAATATTGTGTTAGCGAATATGTTTGTATGTGTGAAATCTATAGAGAGTTGGACGATTATTTCGCTTTATTTCAGTTTTGTTTTTCAAAATCTTGAACTCTGTGTGGGGAGGTACCAGAAGAAATGATCCGATCTCTACCATCTTTATAAAAGATCTTGTGTTGATGGAAATTTTGAGATGTACCAAATCTGAATGGAATTGAATAATTTCGCGTCTTATGAGCTTCATGGATATTCAAAATGTTGACATTTTGTGGGGATGGTACCAGAGGTAGTGGATCGATATATTTCATATTCACAGCAGACCCTGGGTTAATAAATATATTCTGATCTGTGTAATTTGAAGACAATCGGAAATTTTCATCACATTTTATAAAAGTTATGATTATTCAAAATTTTTACCCTTTGTGGGGGAGGTACTTGATGGAATGGACCAATATTACCCATTTTCGCAACTGACCTATCACTGATCCAAATATTAGCATGTGCTAAGTTGGAGCACAATCGCGTTATCCATTTTTTCTGTGCAGTAAAATATTTTCTTTGAAAAGGCGAATGGACCCGGCAAAGTGCGTAAGCTTCGCTGCAACAGTGGAAAAGCATACACAAATCAGAAGGGTCTTACGACTTCCGCAAAACGAAATTCAATTTAGATTTTAAGTCTCCGAATAAGGATACCTTTCGAATAGGTGATGAACTTGACATGAAAATAAAATTCGATGAAGACGAAAATACAAATTTAATTTTGCAAAATGAACTTCACTTAAAAGCAGTACAGCTAGCCAAAACTCACTGAATACAGAAGTACCATCTGATGAGAACTATTTTTGTACTTTCGACATTCAAAAAGCATTACCTTTTCCAAAGCTATTAACAAATGTTGCTTATTACAACCGGAACATCAACTACATTTAGTCATATAATGAACAATTTATTTTATTTTTTGACTTGGTTCTATAGGTATAAAAACTTCGAATTTTATTCAGAGTAATAATGAACCAAGGCAGGTTTTTTTATTTTTGAATATTTTTTAGTAATATATTTAAATTATTTTTCTTTTAAATTAATATCATTAGTTAATTTTGAATGTAGACTTTTACATTTTCTTTTGGTAGACTAAAATATTGCTTCCAGAAATTAATTGCAGTGCATTTACTTTACCTCTAAATATCTTGGAATTATGTTTTTATGACTTAGTTCGGTATAGCTGTGAGCCCTTCATATATTCATAGGGCACATATTCCAATTCTGGCTCCTCATGCGGCACTGAGAATACATTTATGGCCAATGCAATAATTATGGGAAACATGAAATAGGAAAAAATGCGATATGGTCTACTGTTCCCGTGAGGTATGTCGAACACATCGCATTTATCCCGAATGTAGTCTCCCTTGGTGCTTTGTCCGGATTTCTCGGAACATGGGGGACATTTGGTAGCGTTGCAGCGACACATCGTTTGAGTTTTCTTTGTTGGAATAATACCCAAAAGATGTTTTCCATTACCATAAAACATTGAAACGGTTTTCTTCAGACACCGGGGATTTATCACAAATAATTTTGAAAAAACTGCTGACATGTTGGTTGGGCGTTTACAATAATTTTCAAAAAATTGAATTTATTTTTTATTTGTTTCTCAATTTTCAAAATATTTTCTAGTTACACATATCATATCAAGGTAGATTTTTCCGTAAAATTTACACTTCCTTTAAGTTGCCAACAAGATCCACCGCAGCTACCTCTTTGGCCTCCAATTTTTTAGGAGGTTTTTCTATATTTTCATCATTTTCAGTGTTTGATACCTTTGTATCGTTTTGATATAAAGCTTTTTGCACCAGAAGTTTTTCCTGTTGAAGTTGATGACCTTGAAGAGACTTCAAAATATTTTGCCACAAATTCAAAGATAAATTCGTTTGTATAAAACCATAAATCATCAAACTGAGCCCAACATACATAATGGAGATGGTCAGGGTACTCCAGGTCTTCTCATAGGAACCTAGACGAATATTGAAAGCGTTTTTTTCCTTTTTTTTTTGGAAAATTAAAAAAAAACACATTTTCAAAGTACCTTTTGGTGGAGTATTTATTCCTTTGAGTTTACTTCGATTTCCACCATCTGGGCCACCAAGGTTCTTTCCTGGTACTGGGTTTATTTGTGGTTTTTGTGCTGTAAAATTCAAGTTTATTTTGTAGAGGGATTCTATGAATAGGAACAATATAAACCTGAAGTTTTTAAACAAGTTTTTTTTTTTCAAGAATTAATAGTTTAACAAACGTGGATTTTTTAAACAAATTTTTACAAGGACTTAACTTATTGCAAATTCTATTACTGGGATTTTTTAAAACATATTTTCCCAAAAATTATCTTAGCCATATTCTTGGGTCTTTTGATATATGTTTTTCAAGGACTTAGCAGATATAAAACAGCAGATATAGACAAATTTTTAAAACAATTTTTTCCAAGTTCTATCAGATATATAAATGTGGGATTTTAAACATATTTTAGCTTTAAACGTGGATTATAAAACAATTTTTCAAAGTTCTATCAGATATATAAAAGTTGGATTTTGAACATATTTTAGCTTAAACGTGGATTTTAAAACATATTTTTGGAAGGCCCATCACAGCTAAAGGCTTGGGATTATAAATATATTTTGCAAGGATTATCAATATAAATACAATTTTTTAAATATTATATTTTGCTCACCTCTCACCTTTTTGGAAAATCTTTAGTTTTTCTTGATTTTGTTTCAGCTGTTCCGCTGACATACATTCGCCAAACATGTTTTTCGGACACTCTGAGAATAAAAAAAATATATAAATAGCGCTGTGCAGCAATAAAACAATTGCAGGAAGAATCCAGCTGATTATGAAGGTATAACTAAAAATAGAAGACCAAGTAACTAAGATAGAGGGTGCAATGGTCTCCCTCTTCCATATTTTTGGACATTTATGCATTAAGATTTCTTGGAATCCGTACATTTTGGTCGAATCCAAGTCGACATACAGGGTGAGATTAAAAAACTGCAACCAACTTCAGAATGCAGTCATTTCTAAGCCACACGTCTGACATCTGTTAAAATTATTCCAGTGACAGCTCATTATATTGTTTACAAGCGTATGGTGAGAATTTTCCAGAAAAAAAGTTATTCGTGATGGAATTCTAGCGTGATTTTTTTTTTATTTGGTTTATATATAAACCAAAAGTGGCTATCGTTAGAGCACTCCAGCATATGAATGTGAATAAATCTTTTGTGTCTCGTACCATCGCTCGTTACCGTGATACTGGTAGCGTAGCCCGACGTCAAGGAAGTGGACGGAAGAAAACAGCAACATCAGCAAAAGTTTAGAAGCGACTTGATCGAAAAATGGCTCGTGAGCTGAACATATCGCAATATTCCATTTGGCAAATATTGAAAAATTAGCTCGTAAAGCCATTGAAATTCCAAAAAGTGCAAGAACAAGGACCCAAAAGAGCTAAAGAGTTGATTCGCTTGGCCGAAAGTGGTGAACTGCCAAATTTGGTTTTCTCCGATGAGAAAACATTCGTTGTCCAGCAATGATCGTGATTGTCCAAACAAAATGATCGTGTTTACTTGCCAAAGAGGCCAGCTTAAAATGTTGGCCACCAGAACTCAAGCGCCGGCCATGGTGATGGTGTGGGCCGCCATAACAGCCGATGGTCGCTAGCTGCTCGTATTAATCGAACGTGGCATCAGAATAAATGCCGAATATTATCTCGAAAATATTTTGGAGGGTGTATTAAAGCCTTGGGCGCGAACATTTTGGCCGCAGACGTTTGTCATTCCAACAAGACTCAGCAGCATCGCACTCAGCACGTGCCACTCAAGAATGGTTACAAAATGTGGTTCCTCGCTTCATTTCCAGCGAACAATGGCCACCAAAATCTCCAGATATAAATCCGTTGGACTATTGTGTCTGTATTTTTTTTTTTTTTTTTTTGAAAGCAAGGTTGCCACTAAAAAATACTTTAAATCTAAAGTTATTCTACTGTAGACTATGTGCAGATGAAGAAGAGGTAGAGATATCTACTTTGCACATGTTCCACGTTATCTAAGAAGAGACATATGCTATTTGGCAGATGGGAGATAGAAATTCTAACGTTCTTCTCAGACATAGATCCCATCATCATTTACACATTTTGCCAAAGCCCTTCCCTGGATAGGCAGATCAGCCTCTTAGCTACACTATCTACAAATCTTTTCTCCTTCTTCTCGCTTCTACATCTCTCCTATCCCCAAATTTCTCATTTCTTCCTAGGTTGAACACAATGGACCAAAGGTGTTTGAGCAAAGCAGTTGCCGAATTTGGGTAGCTGCGCATCCTTAAACCAAACCAAGCCATTTCTTCATTATAGTACCGATAATAAGAAGAGAATAATTTCATCTCATTCGGAAATGGAGCTTAATTTGTCGAAAATAAAAAAGGATTTTAAATCAAAATATATGATATTTTTATGTTTCATATTAACCATAGAAATAACTTTTGTTCAGAGACTCTCATTGAAATGTTATAAAGAATAATTGTGTCTTTGACGTCACTCTTCTAAAATGATGTTTGGTAGCAGTATTTTGGATAAACTCACATACTTCCTTTTTTAATCCTAACTTCCTTTTTTAATATTTATGAATCCTGGTGTTTAGATGAGATTTAGACCTTAAATGCCTACTCCACAATGGAATTTTACAACAAATAAATTTCTTGAGAATTTTGACTTGATACGATCTCGTTTAAGCATAACATTATTTTGAAAAATGTATCAAAAAGACACCTTTTATGACTCGATTGAGGGTTAAGATTTTTTACCAAAATAATTGTCGCATTGTTGTCAACAACATTGCAGAAGGCATTGTATATCTAAAATGTAAGGATTCCAAGGAATATTTATCCGAAATTTTCCATAAATTTGAAAGGGGGAAATTGCCATATCTATTTTTGTTACGATGTAAACTTTCAAAGGAATATTTATCCGAAATTTTCCATAAATTTGGAAGGGGGAAATTGCCATCTCTATTTTTGTTACGATGTAAACTTTCAAAACGCCGATAAATGTGTCTTCAATTTTAAGCTCTACTTTCATAATCTGTTGGGTTTAGGTCGCACAATGTAATTATTACTGAAAACTTGTTCTTGTGTGGGACGTTTATAGCATATGATTATCTATTATATTTCTATGGAATAAATCGAAATAGTTTAAAAATAATTTCACTTACTATTTACCGATTTCGGAGAATCCTTTTGTACATCCCGTTTGATAGGCTCCAGTGGTTTGGGGATACCCTTCATATTAGTATTGACTTCCATTTTGTTTTGTAAAGCACGATTTGGCTCTGCTAATATATGGAGACGGTTATTAAACTTCATTGGCTAGTATCTAATGACTTGCTTACCTAATTGTGATACCTTTGGCATACTGGCACTTGCAGTATTATAGTTTGGTTTTGTATTGTCTGCAAATATGTAGGCATATAGGAAATTTGTATGTGTACGTATGCGCTCTGTTCCAGAACCTTCAAGTCTACATGTTTTGACTTTATTTAATATCATAAAGAAAAAACCAGTAAGGAAAGATCAAAAGTCGGGCGGGGCCGACTATATGATACCCTACTCCACTATGAATATTTAGTAGAGCTCTCATAAAAAGGTTTATACAGGACATTTCAGAGCTCTATGAGATATTTGGTATAAAATCAAAATCTATCTAATTCTGTCGTGCATTTTACGAACTATATCTATCTCTGAACCGGGTTTCTCCAAATTTGACGTATTAGCTTCTAGACTGAATTCGGTCTTATGTACGAAAATTCAGGTGATTTGGGCTGATATTGACCATTTAGTGCACAATTAACCTGAAATCGGATGAAGATATATATGGGAGCTATATCCAAATCTGAACCGATTTTCACTACATTTGATATACTTGCTTCTAGGCTGAATTTGGTCCGATGTACTAAAATTCAGTCCATTTGGACTTATATCGGCCATTTGGTGCACAATTAACCCGAAATCGGATGAAGCTATATATGGGAGCTATATCCAAATCTGAACCGATTTCGATAAAATAACAAACAGCTATTTCTGGGCTGTATCTTATATCTGGTACCAAATATCATTCTCGTGGAGTGCATATTACGAATGTGAGAGGCTTAAACACCAAATCGGATAAAACATATATATGGGAGCTATAGCTGTTTCTGAACCGATTTTCTCCAAATTTGTTGTATTTGCTTAAAGGCTAATCTCGGTCACATGTGCCAAAATTCGGGCCATTTGGGCTGATATTGGCCATTTGGTGGTCAATTAACCCGAAATCGGATGAAGATATATATGAGAGCTATATCCAAATCTGAACCGATTTCGATAAAATTTAAAACAGCTTTTTCTGTGCTCCATCTAATACCTGGTACCAAATATCACGGTTGTGGAGTGCATAGTAGGAATGTGAGGGACTTAAAGATCAAATCGGATGAAAGATATATATGGGAGCTATAGCTATATCTGAACCGATTTTCCCCAAATTTGATATACTTGCTTCTAGGCCGCACTCGGTTGGGTGTGCCAAAATTCAGGTAATTTGGACTGATAGTGGACATTTGGTGCACATTTAACCCGAAATCGGATGAAGATATATATGGGAGCTATATCTAAATTTGATCCGATTCTCACCAATTTCAATAGGGTTCGTCCTTGGGCCAAAAGAATATTGTTTGGAAAATTTCATCTCAATCGGATAATAAATGCGACTTGCATTTTGTTCACAAGAATACATGGACAGACGGACGGACGGACGGACAGAGGGACTGACATGCATAAATCGACTCAGAAAGTGATTCTATGAAGGTTCTCAAAAGTAACTATGGGTCTATCTCGTTTCTCTCCATGTTACAAACAAATGCACAAAGACATAATACCCTTACCACTATGTGGTGTAGGGTATAATCAGTTATTGGCAGTATAATCTGTCAGGTTCTGGAACAGAGTAATGTTAATATTTTTTGTATACAATTACGTGAATCCGTGGTTTCTGTTTTCTTATTAACATCCAACTTAGAGTTCTCCATCTTTTTTGGTATATTTTTTGATGCATCATTTCTTGTTGTTGTTTTAGACAAAGAATTCACCTTTAATAAGTCGTCTTGTGTCGAAGATGATGGTTTTGTTATTTTGGTAGGATTTTCGGCCTTTTTCATCTCTTTGTGTTTGTTTAAACTTCCCTGGGGTGGTAGAGACATCAGAAATATTGATTCTAAAAGAAAAATATTGAATACTTCTACTATCGTGCTATTCCTATATCAACATACTCACCACTGTCATCCGACTTTGTGTTTGAACTGTTTAATTTTATTTCGTCTTTGGTAAAATCGATTTTCTTCGCATTTGTAGAAGATAAATTTGCCATACTCATGGAAGTCTCACTTGCCTTCGAAGATTTCATGGAATCGACAAGAAAGTTTTGCAATTGTCCATCATCTTTAAATAGCTGCTTGTGATTAGAAGTTTTATTATCTGTCACAAGTGGTGACAGAGAAATGGGGTTTATTGGTTGTTTTGTGCTTTCAGGGAGTTTCTCGTCTGAAAATAAGCCATATACATGTTTTCATAATCAACACAGACACAGACACATATCAACTTTACCAAAATAAACCAGTAAAGAAAGTCCTAAAGTCGGGCGGGGCCGATTTTATGATACCCTACACCACTTTGCTAATTTAGTTGAGCTCCACTTAATAATTAAAAGTTTTTGTGGGAGAATTCAATCATACACGCTATGATTATAATTATAATTTAAAATTCAAAGGACTAAATATGCCGAAGCATTTGTATCTTTTAACTTCGGACTTGTATTGCCCATTTGGTGCGAAATTAATTTGAAATCGGATAAAAATATATATGGGAACTATATCCAAATCTGAACCGATCTCGATAAAATTTGGCAAAGATATTTCTGAGCTGTATTTGATATATTTCCCTGAATATCGTTGTTACGGAGTGCATATTACGGCTGTGGGTAACAAATATAATAAATCGGATGAACAATATATATGGGAGCTATAACTATATCTGAACCGATATTCACCAAATTTGGCATACTACCTTTTAGACTAAATTCAGTCGCATGTGCCAAATTTCATCCCATTTGGACAAATATTAGACGTTTGGTGCACAATAAATGGTAAATTGGACGAAGTTATATATGGAAGCAATATCCAAATCTGAACCGATCTCGATAAAATTTAGCAAAGGTATTTCTGAGCTGCATTTGATATATTTCCCCAAATATTGTTGTTACAGAGTGCATATTACTATATCTATATCTGAACCGATTTCGATAAAATTTGGCATACTTATTTTCAGGCCTAATTTGGTTGTATGTGCAAAATTCCATACTATTCGGGCTGATATTACACGTTTGGTGCACAATAAAAGGCAAATTGGACGAAGATATATATGGGAGCTATATCTAAATTTTTACCGATTATCTCCAATTTCAATAGGGTTCGTCCTTGGGCTAAACAAATGTTGTTTGCAAAATTTCATCTCAATCGGATAATAAATGCGACCTGCATTTTGTTCACAAGAATACATGGACAGACGGACTGACATGCATAAATCAACTCAGAAAGTTATTCTATGCAGATCATCAAAAGGAACTATGGGTCTATCTCGTTTCCTTTTGCCTGTTACAAACAAATGCACAAAGACATAATACCCTGACCACCTTGTAGTGTAGGGTATAAAAATTGGTCTGAAGTCTAAATGAGTCTTAAATTCGAGAAGTGCCTAGAAATTTTTATATCCCCCTACCATAAATGAAATGAAATTTTACATTCCGTTTACAACACCTGAAACCTTATAAACGGGAACGTACAAGTTTTAAACATAATGTGGTTAAGTTTTTACTGCTAATTTGGAAGGTTTTCATTTCAAAGTCCAAATCTCCCTTTATACATTTGTGGAAGTGTCAAAGGAAAAAAAATATTCTATATAAACTTATGTGAGTCTCTGAGAAGAAATTTGTATGCCTAATGTATATCATGGTTTATAAAAAACCATTTTAATTTTTACATATTTTGCGTTTTTCCAAATATGCGCCAAATGTTCTTTCACTGACCAATAGCCAGTCAGGACTTTGGAAAATTCATATTGTGTATTTGATAGTACTCGGTTTGTGGATGAAAGCCCCAAAAGGGCTTTTACAAAGCATTGATCATATACAACGGGACCTCAATATTTTGAGATGTATTTCGTCACATTTGATGTAGAGCGAGGAAACTTTATAGAGAGGTTTAACAATAATAGGTTTAAAAATAGGTCATGTCGGCCCACTTGTTGGTAAGTTCCTGCATTAGGGTAAACTACAATTTCAAATATTATTTGAACATAATAATAAAAAGTGCACGATACCCTATTTTTGATTATTGTACACACCCAATTTAAATGTTATCCTATTATTTATTTCCTTATAAAAATGATTACCCAATAAAATCATTTGACATTATAAACAAGTTAAAAAGTTTCGGTCGGTTTTGCCGACAGATGTATACCCTCGGCCAATGTTCGATTATTTTAAAATCTTTTGACTTCTGGTTAGATTGATCAAATCGATATATCCCATCTTCACAACGGATCTTTTGTTAGTGGAAATAATGGGATGTGTGAAATATAAAGAGAACCTGATATCGGGTTTTATAAATGTTTTGGTTATTCATAACTTTGACCCCTTGTGGGGGAGATACCAGAAGGAGTGGGCCGATATATTCTATCTTAACACCAGATCTTGGATTTAAAAAAAATTTTGAAATGTGTGAAATTTTAAGACAATCGGATTCTAACACAACATTATAATTATTCAAAATGTTTACCTTTTGTGGGGGAGGTACTTGATGGAGTGGACAAATAATATCCATTTTTGTACTAGACCTAGAGCTGACGAAAATATTAGGATTTGCCAAGTTGGAGCAAACCCGGATTATTTCTACTCTTTCTGTGCAGAAAATATTTTTTTTTTTTTGGAAAATGTTGACCTTGTATGGGGGAGGTGCCAGAAGGAGTGGACCGATATTGTCCATCTTAACACCAGACCTTGGGTTAATATAAAGATTGGGATGTGTGAAATTTGAAGACAATCGGGCTCTTACATCAAATTTTATGAGAGTTGTAATTATTCAAAATTTTGACCATTTGTGGGGGAGGTATTTGATGGAGTGGACCGGTATTGTCCATTTTCACACCGGACCTAGCACTAACATAAATATTAGGATTTGCAAAGTTCGAGCAAAATCGGATTATCTTTTCTCTTTCTGTGCATTATAAAATATATTCTTTGAAAATTTCGACCTTTTGTGGGGGAGGTACCAGAAGGAGTGGACCGATATTGTCATTCTTAACACCAGACCTTGGGTTAATATAAATATTGGGTTGTGTGAAATTTGAAGACAATCGGGCTCTTACATCAAATTTTATGAGAGTTGTAATTATTCAAAATTTTGACCATTTGTGGGGGAGGTACTTGATGGAGTGGACCGATATTGTCTATTTTTAGACTTAACCTAGCTCGGATGCAAATATTAGTATATGCAAAGTTGGAGCAAAATCGGATTATCCTTATTCTTTCTGTGCAACAAATTATTTTCTTTGAAAATGTTGACATTTTGTGTGGGAGGTACCACACATCTCCGAACTCGATCTAAGTTTGACAAAAATATTACGATGTACTAAGTTTGGATCAAATCGGATACTCCCTTCGAGAGTTATCGTGCGCACCAGCCAGCCAGACAGACAGACGGACGGACGGACATTGGTAGATCGACTCCAAATGTTCTGAAACGGATTTGGTCCAAAGAGACCTAGGGTCTAAAACCGTTATTTCGACTAGGCACGTTTTGACCGTATCAAATGATATATACCCTCTGTAGCCATATGGCTGAGGGTATAAAAAGGCCTTTAATTTACGGATATTGATTTAGTATCCCAACCCCAAACCCAACAACTTACCCTTCTTATTTGGTTCAGGCACAATGTTTTTCGTCACATCGGCTGTCTTACTTGGTATATCTTTTTGGTACCCACTGGAATTTTTTGCTAGAACCTGATTATCATTGGAAAACTTATGATTTGTAACTTGTTCCTGGCTATCTTTCGAATACTTGATCTTTGTTAATTGATCTGTTTCGGCATTGAATATAGCTTTTTTGGTATCATTTTTAATGGCCACACTCGTTTGGGCAGTAGGAGGCAACTGAAGCGATGGATTCTTTTCCAATTCAATGTCTTTCAAGTTGTCCTCTTCCATAAATTCTATGTGAACTTTAAGCGAAGAGAAAGATTATTTCAGTGTCAATCTATTGAGGTCTGTTTTATTCAACATACCCTTCTTTGGTGTTAGCATAGACTTGCCAATACCCTCATGATCGGCCAGGATTTCCAGTTTGTAATTTTTTGTTTTTAAGTCAGAAGGTTCTGAAATGGAAAAATATGGTACTAGTATTAGGTTTGTAACAGTCGTGGAGGATTTTTGTTTTCTACATTTTTATTTCTTTTAAACGCAGATATTTTTTTCTTAATAATTTATGCATTTTTAATTATTAATTAATATATGTGTCATATACCCAATGTATTGGAATTGCTTGAATTTTCCGTATTTTCCAACAATTGTACTATCATAATTCTTCGTTTACTACCTCGGCGACGTGTCAACACATTTGTAGGATCATGGAGGGCATCTGGAATTGTAAAAAAACAAAGTCACGAAAAAACCCAAATTAACATAAAAACATTCCCATGTCTAACCTCTGGATTCCTGGCGAGAACGCTTTTTGAAAACTTTCTTCAAAATTGTACGAGGTTCTGGAGGTACTTGATTCCCCTTCTCTGTGGTCTCTTGCTTTGATAACTTCGAATTCAATTGATTAACCAAAGATTTGGAAATGGGTTTTATTTCCAAGATTTCACTTGATTTCTTCTCCCCCATAGATTTGTTTGAATTATCGTTCTCCTTTCCATTAGAACTCATTGGACGCATGCAAAATTTTTCAAAGCCAGAAAAGTTTGGAGACATTTTTATCACAGGTCTGAATTTTGTTTTGGAAACACCACCACCGTGTATTGTTCGAGATTTAATAAGTAAAGAGTAGCACTTCTTAGCGATATGCATATTTTTCGAAGCAATATTTAGAACTGGAGATTTGGAAAACATTTTGGACTTTTAAAATGAAAATTAAACTAATTTTTTTTCCAAGTCAATATTATTTTGACAAAAGTAAAAAAATAATGATTTTTTTTTTTGACAAAAGAACCAGGTATGGAATATTTCAAAGTAGGGCGGCCGTGAATATTTTGTACCCGTACGTTCCCCTCGTAGAAGACGGGAAATTCATTTCATAGAAGACAAAAAGGTTTACTCAAAGATGGTAGGAAGATCTTCCTATAGGTGACAAAAAGGTATTTTCATCAAAGGCGGTAAGGTCTACTTATAGAAGTCGGAATGTTTTTTCATAGAAGGCAGAAAAGTTTTCTCACAGAAGACCATGCAGTCTTCTTATAGAATACCAAATGATCTTATTTTAGAAGGTGGAAAGGTCTCCCAACGGAAAACCAAAAAAACTTTATATTGAGGTCCAAAAACTTCTTTTCATAGAAGACCAGAAGTCTTTCAATAGATGAACAAAAGTCTTATCATAGAAGACCAAAACGTCATTGCATAGAGGACCAAAAGTCTTCTCATTGAACACCAGAAGGATTTCTCATAGAAGTCCAAAAAGTTCTTCTCATAGTAGACAAGAAGATCTTCACATACAACCCTGCAAGTTCTTTTTTAACAAGGCGGGAAGCTCTTTCCACAGAAGATCATATTGTCTTCTTGTAGAAGAAGAAGAAGAAGGTTCCATTCATAGAAGATGGGAAGGACTTCTAACGGAAAACTGAAAAGGTTTTCTAATAGAAGACAAAAACATTCTCTCATTGAAGTTCAAAAAGTCTTCTCATAAATGACCGAAAGGCTTTCACATTAAACACGGGTAGGTCTTCTTAAAAACAGCGGAAATATCAAAAAGGTATTCCCATAAATGACGAAAAGTCTTCCCTAGAAGGTCAGTAGGGGTTTTCATAGAAGACCGGAAGGTCTTCTCTTAGAGGACCAAAAAATGTTTCCATGTGTGGCCAGAAGGTCTTCTCATAGAGGACAAAAATGTCTTCCCACAAAAGATATAAAGATCTCCTATCAAACACGGATATATCTCTTCAATAAGGTCTTCCCATAGAGGACCAAAAAATCTCTTCTCATAGAAGATCAAAGAATCTTATTATAGAACACCGAACATTACTTCTCATTGAATACCAAATGGCCTTTTCACTAAAGACTAGAAGGTCATTTAAATGAAGACCAAAAGGTATTCTCATTTTAAGAATAAATGGTCTTTTCATAGAAGGTCATGGAAAATCAAAAGAAGTCTAAAAAAAAGTATCCTCATAGAAGACATAATGGTATTCTCATTAAAAACTAAAGTCTTCTAATCGGAGACCAAAAGGCTTTCAATCAAAAAAGGGGTTCTCAACCAAATAATCTTCTCATAGAAGACAAATATTTTTAATTTTTAAAAATCTAAAAGAAACACCCTAATTTACTTCAGCTGTTATTGTTTTTGTTTACTGAGCGCGCACACAAACAAAAAAGTACACGAGAGCACGATGAGTAAGGAGAAGTAAAAAAAACTGATAAGTTCGGTCGAGCCGAACTTTTAACACACTTCATTTTAGGGTAAAGGAAACACTAGAACCCCTTATGACCCACAAATGCCAAAATGTGGCAAAAATCATCGAAATACTGAATATCGGTAGGTACCGTAATAAGTTCGCTATACAAAAACGTGAACCTATACATATAATGTTTCGTCACACGAGCTGGAATCCATTATGACCTACAAATACCAATTTCTAGACAAATCCGTGAAAAAATGTGGCAAAAATCATTAACACACCGAATATCGGGAGGTACCGTTATATGGGGAATATACCAAAACATGGACCGATATATCATGTTCAATACCAACCATCTTAGACACAATAGAAATTGTTCGTCTAAATTTTAGAATTTTATGCTAATTATGAGTACATATACTTTATGGGGTCTACGACGAATATTTAGGGATGTTACAAACGGAATGACAAAGTAATACACCCTCTTATCCAAGGTGGAGGGTATAAATGATTTCTCAAACAAATTGGACAAGGCAAAACGCACTGAGAGAATGTCGTTGCCGAGAAGCATAACATGGAATTTTTATTTGCAAATTAACATTTGAAGTGGTCAGTCGATTTAATTTTTTCCAGCGCATGGAAAAGTAAACTTTACCAAAGAAAGCTGACAAAAAGAATAACACACAGAGGTAAGCAAAATGTGTAACCTAGACAAAGAAATAACCCCTAGCAAAAAGTGCAAATTAAACAAATAACCAATCACTTAATATAATTTAAAAAAATTAAGTACGAATTAAAATGTATGTTTTATTTTGCAGCTTTATCATTTTTGCTAATCGAAATCGTATCGCAGAATTTGCACTGAAAGCCGCGCTTAAACAATTGAACACAAAAGAAACGAATCACAAAAAAAAAACATGGCTGTCTCAGCCTCTCATCTCTGCTTGCGGAATATTGTGCTATTGATATTTTTACTGTTTTTGGCTGATGATAAGAAAGGAGTGTCGGCCCTGAGTAAACGCTATCATTTGGGACGTTACTGGCATGGTTTCCTTGGTGAGCCAAGTAAAATTCCTTCGTTGCAAAGCGAGCGTGAAGTACCAGATTTGTGGTTCGAACAACCCCTGGATCATTTCAGTGACACAAACAAAGATGTTTGGAAACAACGTTATTTTGTCAACGATGAACATTATCGCAATGATAGTACGGCACCTATATTTTTGATGATTGGTGGTATGTAGGGGAGGAGAGAGGTCTTGCCATTTATTAAAATATTAAATTGGTTTTAATTATATATTTTAGGTGAAGCTGAAGCTTCCAAGAAGTGGATGCGTGAAGGTGCCTGGATACATTATGCCGAACACTTTGGAGCATTGTGTTTTCAATTGGAACATCGTTTCTATGGCAAATCACATCCAACGAGGTGAGTTTGAACAAAGAAATGGATGAAATTCATTTCCGGTCGAACTGTTATTTACCTGGTTTTTATGAAAAAAGGACATGTATGTAATTGCATGTTGGCACAATAGCAATGTCTGTAATGTTCTCATTCTTGATCAAATCAACAGCTTCAGGATACCTTAAGCTGACAACAAGCTTTATTCTAGAGCCTTTTTAGTTTGGAGAGCAAGCGTAATATTAAACTTAACCCTTGTATATGAAAATATTTGCGTGGGTCTTTTTTATCTCCTAGAAGCCCTCTGAAATTTGGCCAAAACTTTAAAGAATGAAAATGAAAAAAAAAAACTATGAAAAGTCTTTTTGACTTTCTGTAATTTAATCTCCTTCCTTTCTCAAATGAAGGTCCGAACTTTTACGAAAGATTTTTAGACTCAGCATGTATTTTGAAAACCATTAGGTTAGGTTAAAGGATGCGCAGTTATATAAACAACCACTCCACTCGGATACCTATTGGTCCATTGTGTTCATCCTAATGATAAATGAGATTCCATATAAAAAAATAAAAACGAAAATATAAGGTTTATTCTTTTCTCATTGAAAATTATATTTTTCGTAGAGGTTAAGAAAGTTTTCCCTCTATCATTGTAAGCCTGCAGCAGAATAATCAATTCAAGCAATGGGGTAGTGTTCTGTTAGGAAAATGTCCACTAGGGCACTCCGCAAGGAGGGGTTCTGTCACCACTATTCTGGCTTTTGGTGATAAATGACATTCTAATCGAACTGTAACATAAACTGGAGCAAAGTTCGTGGCTTACGCCGACGATGTGGTCTTGCTGATTGCTGGGAAATTCCCTGTTCAAGGATGAGATTTATTTGGATCATTTATGAAAAGATATTCTGGGACCTTCTAAAGGCGTTTTGCCAAGTCTTTACCATTTTATGTCTTTGATCATTATACTTCTAGCGACCTTTCAACTGAAAACTTGCAATATTTAACATCCAAACAAGCACTGGCCGATTTGGGGGCATTTGTATTGGCCATGAAGGAACAATACAATTTGGCTCCTTCACAAAAATGGATAGCTTTTGGAGGTTCTTATCCCGGTTCATTGGCAGCATGGGCCAGAGAAAAGTATCCCGATTTAATTCATGGATCCATAAGTACGAGTGGACCACTTCTGGCAAAATTAGATTTTACTGGTATGTTAACAAATAATAATTTTTAATAATGTACTGAATGTGAAGTTTTTTTTTGTATAGAATACTTTGAGGTGGTGAAGGCATCTTTGGCAAGCTATAAACCCGAATGTGTTGATGTTGTGGGTAAAGGTTTTGCCCAAGTTGAAATCCTCTTAAAACACATGATTGGTCAAAGGAATTTGGATGAAAAGTTCAAGTAAGTTTGTTTTACAATTTTTAACGTTATTGGTTTTAAAACATACTGTTTCTTATAGGACCTGCACTCCCATTAAGGATTCAATTGAAAATAATTTGGATATTTCGAATTTCTTTGAAAATATTGCCAGTGATTTTGCTGGCGTTGTACAATACAATAAAGATAATAGTCCCCATGCAAAAATAACTATTGATGATGTTTGTGATGTTATGCTCAATACTACAATGGGCCCACCTGTTACACGTTTGGCAGCCGTCAATAGTATGATTTTGCAGGAGTCCAATGAGAAATGTTTAGATTATAAATATGATAAAATGATCAAGGAAATGCAAAATGTATCTTGGTCCTCTGAGGCGGCAAATGGGGCACGCCAATGGACGTGGCAGACATGCAATGAATTTGGTTTCTATCAAACGTCCGAGAAGCCAACAGATATTTTCGGTGATCGTTTCAAATTGGATTTCTTTATAAAACAATGCATGGATATTTATGGTGATAAGTAAGGAAGCTATATTTTTATTATATTTTATTTTAATTATATTTTATAATATTTTTTCTTACTTCTAGCATGAACTCGGATTATTTGAATTCCGTAATATCCTCAACAAATGCATATTATGGAGGCCTGAAACCGACAACCACAAATGTTTTATATGTTCATGGTTCCATCGATCCTTGGCATGCTTTGGGTTTGATTAAACCCATTAATAAAAATACTCCAACTATATATATTGAAGGTATGTAGAATGTGGTTGCTTGTTTGCTTTGACTCATAAGCAACTTTATAGTTACTTTGTTTTTATCAAAAAGAAACTTAAACAGGCAAAACATAACGGACTCCAGTGCAACCAACTGGAAGTTAAAGAGAATAGTGTGTTGCAAAAAATCCATACCATAAAAAAAGCTGCCCTGAAAAAATGTGCAAGAATAAGTGAAGCCCAAGGAGCTATTTGCAGTGGCAATTATCGATAAAATCAATATTGAATATCCTAGTTCATTCATTAATTTCCAAAATACCCATTTGTACTACCTACAGATAAAACAGTTTTGTTTTCTACAAAAATTGTTTTTAAACATTACCAATTGTATTTGGTAACTATAGATCCGCACTATTGTACTGAGATTCTCTACCTTTTTTAGTTACCGACAAAAATCGGTAAATTTTAACTGTCGTTTATTCGTTATTAGCGAATCGTTAGAAAAGGTACATCTTTGAAAAAAAAACTAAATCCAAATTGAATTCCATACTTAAGTCACAACATAATTTTCCAATCTCAAATTCGACTGTCACTTATTCGAGACATTTTTAACCAAATAATTTCTTTCTCTAGGAACTGCTCATTGCGCCAACATGTATGAACCCATTAAAACGGATCCACCTCAACTGGTTGAGGCACGCCACAAGATTTTGAAATATTTGGCTCAACTTTTGGAGGGTTACTCGGCAACCAAGATGTAAAAAATAATCTTTGATATTAAAAAAAATTAATGTAAAAAATATTTTTGTAAAATATATACCAAATAATCAGTAAATCTTATAGATGATGTAAACAACTATTTCCCGGGTAGAATTAATGCATGTAATCCCAAGATGGTTAGGCAGACGACTCGTTACTTGGGTAAAAAAGTTTTTTTTTTGTCTGGGGAGAATATCCCAAACAAAAAACCAGTAAAGAAACTCTTAAAGTCGGGCGGGGCCGACTTTATGATACCCTACACCACTTTGCTTATTTAGTAGAGCTCCACATAACAATTAAAAGTTTTTATGGGAGAATTCAATAATACACGCTATGATTATAATTATAATTTAAAGTTCAAAGGACTTAATATGCCGAAGCATTTGTATCTTTTAAATTCGGACTTGTATTGCCCATTTTGCACGCAATTAATTGTACGAAATTAAAATCGGATAAAGATATATATGGGAGCTATATCCAAATCTGAACCGATCTCGATAAAATTTGGCAAAGATATTTCTGAGCTGTATTTGATATATTTCCCTGAATATCGTTGTTACGGAGTGCATATTACGGTTGTGTGTAACAAATATAACAAATCGGATGAATAATATATATGGAAGCTATGGCTATATCTGAACCGATCTTCACCAATTGTGGCATACTAGCTTCTAGACTCAATTCGGTCGTAAGTGCCAAATTGCATCCCATTTGGACAAATATTAGACGTTTGGTGCACAATAAAAGGTAAATCGGACGAAGTTATATATGGGAGCTATATCCAAATCTGAACCGATCTCGAAAAATTTAGCAAAGGTATTTCTGAGCTTTATTTTATATATTTCTCCAAATATTGTTGTTACAGAGTGCATATTACGGCGGCAGTGGACAAAAATAACAAATCGGATGAGCAATATATATGGGAGCTATAGCTATATCTGAACCGATTTCGATCAAATTTGGCATACTTATTTTCAGGCCTAATTTGGTTGTATATGCAAATTTCCATACAATTCGGGGCAAATCGGACGAAGATATATATGGGAGCTATATCTAAATTTTTACCGATTATTTCCAATTTCAATAGGGTTCGTCCTTGGGCCAAACAAATGATTTCTTCAAAATTTCATTTGGATCGGGCAATAAATGCGACCTGTACTTTGTTTACAAAAATACATGGACAGACGGACGGACAGGCGGACGGACATGCATAAATCGACTCAGAATGTGATTCTATGCAGATCATCAAAAGGAACTATGGGTCTATCTCAAATGCACAAAGACATAATACCCTGACCACCTTGTGGTGTAGGGTATAACAAGGGAACTGATGAGAATCAGTGGATCTTTCCGAAACCTAGGTATTCCCTGCCTTACCCCCTGGTAAATATTAGCATCGTTCTCGACTAATAAACAAACGTTTTTTATAAAAATAACAATAATGGGATTAAGCCTGACCATTTTGCAACAACAAAATATTATGGTATCCCGACCATAAGTCATCAAAAGCGTTGGACCCAAAACGGAATCTCAATGGTAATGTTAAAACAACTGGATACGCCGGGAGTTGAGTAACTGACAAAAGTTCTCAACCTGTCGCTAGCCACCCAAATAGTTCCCGAAGCCTGGAAAATGGGTTGGACTTTACTGAAGTCAAGCAAGGCCAAGCCCCGTAGAGTGAAACAGGGAGTTACCCAAGGTGGAGCGATGTCTCCGGAATTTTAAAGTCTACATTTTCTACGGACGGCATGGAGATCGTAACGTATGCGGATGATTTTACGATATCTAGCTTGCTCCCTTCTAAATCAGTTCCGAGTTATGTGTGCAGGTCGAGGTATAATTCCGACCACGAACTACCTACCTATTACCTAGATTATAGGTATCACATTCGACAACATGTTCAAGTCGTCCGAGTATTCAACAGATTTCTGCGACAAAATGAAAAGTAGGAACCAGGTCGTCAAAGCACTAGCCGGCAGCAAATGGGCTGCGGACAAGAAGACCTTGTAGATCTTTTATTACGCGATACGTCGGCCCTGGTGTTCCCTGCGGATATATGCGCTGTGCAGTGGAAGAACATACAGTACTGCCAGAATCCTGCCCTGAAAACAGCGACAGGGTGTCTTCTCATGACACTAGTGGACAATGTACATGAGGAGGAGAAGGTCCTTCCCGTTCGTCAGCATAACCATTTATTTGTAGATGCCATCAACAACTACAGTATGAAGGCCGTCCTCGGAGTCCAGCCCAGTCAATTGGCGCAATTAGGTTCAGGATGGTTATCTCAATTCGTATTGGACATTAATTGATGAAGATGTGTGGAATAAAATACGCTGCAACCTTTAAAATTGCCCCGCCAAACCTACCCCCCACTCACTGCAGAAGATATCGAAAGTAGCTGAATTTTTGAACCTAAACCTAAAACCATCAACTAAAACACAAATTGTCAAAGTAGGCCAATATCTATTTTTCAAAAACTTTTCATTTAAATTTTCTGCATTTAACGTTCAAAAACGTCACTTTATTAAATGTCTTTTGTTTTTTGAAAGAGCTTACAAACTGCTGCGCCATTAATTTATCTAACGCGAAAGCTTAATTTGCAAAGAAGAAACAAGCACAGAAATAAAAAGCTTTTGCATAGAACTATAGTCGACATTTGTTTTCCAACCAGTTGACAATCAACCAAAAACATTTGAAGTGATCTCATTCCGGGTGCAGTGTAGCAGCAGAGGCAAGAATTGCAAAAATGGAAATAGCAAGATAAATTTTATATTTTTAATCTAAAATATGTTGCATTTCAGTATCATACGAAGCAAATCCACAAACAAAATGGCTCAAAATATGCTGGCCTCCCGAGGTATGCGTTTCCTGATGACCCGCTGTCGACCGGCTCCGTTGTATACTTGGACCGTAAAATCATCTGCCCCAACAATGACGACGACTGCATCCACAACTACAACTTGGTATATTCGACCAATACAACCACCTATGACGGCTGCCTATTCAAAGGATACAAAGAACAGTAAGTATTGATTGAATTTATGGTGAAGTCACTCGCCAAGGGAGGTATATCGATTTTTCATGTATTAATTTCCTGTTTCATATAAGAAATTGACTCTTTATGAGCTAATGCATCTGCACGATCTGGATTGTATTAAAATGTTGATAAAGTATGATATCGTCACCCATCGGCACGAATGTTGAAATTTCATTATTTTAAATTCCTTGTCCAGAATTCACATTTGGCTCGGAATTTTTTAAAAATTCTCATATTTTTATTCTACACCTACGCATAAACATTGTACCACTTTCGGCCAAGCGAAGTAACTCTTTAGCTCTTTTGAGTCTAGTTTCTTCCTGTTGCGGTGTAAGTTCTTGCACTTCTTGAAACTTCAATGGCTTCACTCCGAGTTCATTTTTCAATATTTGCCGAGTGGAATATTGCGATAGGTTCAGCCCACGAGCCATTTTTCGCTACCAGTATCACGGTAACGAGCGATGGTGGGAGACACAAAAGATTTGCTCACATTTAACTGCTGGAGTGCTCTAACGTTAGTCACTTGTGGTTTTCCAGCCAAATATAAAGAAATCACACTATCACGCTTGAATTCCATCACGAATAACTTTTTTTCTGGAAAATTCTCACCAAAATGCTTTTGTACGCTTGTTAACAATATAAGCTGTCACTGGGATAATTTTAACAGCTGTCGGACGAGTGGCTTAGAAATGACAGCAGTCTGAAGTTGATTGCAGTTTTTTCATCTCACCCTGTATATCTTCGTCCGATTTGCTTTTAATGTGCACCAAACATGTCAAATAGTATGGAATTTTGAACATACGACCAAATTAAGCCTGGAAATAAGTATGCCAAATTTGATCGAAAATGGCTCAGATATAGTTATAGCGCCCATATATATTTTGCATCCGATTTGTTATTTTTGTCCTCTGCTGCCGTAATATGTACTTTTTAACAAGAATATTTTTGGGAAATATAAAAATACAGCTCGGAAATACCTTTGTTAAATTTTATCGAGATCGGTTCAGATACGGATATAGCTCCCATATAAATCTTCTACCGATTTGCGTTTTATTGTTCGCCAAACGTGGATGGAATTTAGCACTTACTATCAAATTGAGCCTAGAAACAGGTATGTTAAATTTGGTAAAACCCATAATATGCATTTTGTAGAAACGATATTCGGGGAAATTAGTTCTCGGTCTGTAGATTAAAACCCCAAAAGAGTTTCCAGTTATTAAGCCAAACTTTGTAAATGACTTTAGAGAGATTATACCATGTACAAAAGCATCTTCATATTTTAAGATATAGAATTTTTTAAACTTCATACCAAATCGGTTGGAAACGTGAACTATGAATGCACGGTTATATGGAGACTATTCCGAAGTTAATGCTAATATCAAATACCTTATGTTTTTGCATTACAGGGCAGTAGCTGTTATTCATCTTTTATGAATTTTATTTATGTTAAACTTTCTCTTAATGTTTTTAAACAATTCTTTAGTTTTCACTACATCGATGTTAATTCAAAAACATTTCGGTTCAAATGCGGCACCCCAACCTTCACCCATTACTAAAAATAATGAAATCTCAACATCTCAAGCATCAAGTTCATCATCATCATCAACTAAACCATTAGCCCCCTCCACCATGGAATCACAAGCAAAACCCCTCATAGAAGCATTAGCTGCAGCAAAATCATCTCCCACCACCTCATCCACATCTGCAACCACGTCATGTTCATCAAAAGATCCATGTAGTAAGTTTTCATCCACAAAACCTCCCAAATCGCCACCAGGTAGGCTGGATTGAATCATCTTAATTATTTAATTTAATTTCAATATTCCTCCTTTCTTTTCAGATTCCCCTATCCAACCACCGAACATTAAACTACCCAATCGGGATCAAGTGGAAAAGTACTTTTTCACCGCATTGATCTATGTTTGGGATTTGTGTTATTATGTTTTTTGTTTGACACTGCGTTTAATCGATACGTATATTTTGAAAAATCCTACTCTGCAGCAGTATTGGAAACAATTCATGAAACGTTTGGACGAACAGCGGGAAGCCATGAAATCGAGGAAGTGAAATGTCAAAAAACAAGGTTGCTCTACTATGTTTCTGCTATAAAGGATGTACCTCTTTGAGTCACCTTGGGACTTATTTTTATAACTGCACAGCGAATTATTTTGTTTCTTCTAATATTTATTATTTTTTACAATGTTTTGTAATAATCTTTAGAATAAATAATTTCAATAACAAGTAAGGGAGGCTGGTAATCGACAGGGTGTGGGTTGGGAATAATATTTTAGAATCAAAACGCACAATGTTTACTGGAAGGCATATAGATGGGCTTGGGAACATTGATATGTCAAATAATTGTAAATTTCTTTTCAAATATATGTAGTTTTATATATGTTTTCTTATACGACGTCATTCGGAGGTTATTATAATACGCGTTTCTATAATTTTTTCAAATTTTAATCATTTTTCATTCAACATTTTCAATTCCAAAATTGGCTGGCAAAAAGTTTGTAAAAATTAAAATTATTTTTGTATGTGTTTATTAGTTGGTTTTGTAGAGTGGAGCTTGCCAGTATTATTTTCAATGTTTGCCAACCGAAATATCTTGTACTATTAAAATCTAAAATATATTCGGTTTGATGATTAACATCTCCCACGCCATCTATCGGTAGAATATGTGCTGACAAGCTTGTTATTTATCAGCCAATTGACAATTGTTCAACGTTTATTGAATTTTCTTTTGCTAAATATGGTTTGGTTAGCGTCACAGAGGTCTAATGGCTTCCAAAATGCAATTTCTCGGCCATTTTGTCGCCATCAGTAACTAGCGAAAGTTGAGAATTATACAATTTTCCTTAAAAGAATTTTCCCCTCTGTTGAAAGTCAAAAAATTTTGTTTTAGTTTAAAAATTTCAATAAATATAATTTTCTCATTTTTTGGTAAGTTTTTTTTTTTTATTAAAAAGTGTTTATTTTAAATATTCTTATTTGACTACGCAATCCCACAGATTACAATACATCATATTTTAAAAATTATTCTGTGAGCGATAAAAATTTACATGAGCGGTGTTGACTAAGAAATCTCTTTGGATCAATAATTTATTTATTCTGGTGCCAATCGAATAATCGGTAATAAATATAATTATGCGCTTATTCTCAATTTAATTGAGAGCTGATTTACCATTTTCTCATTGCACAGATTTGGCACCAACTGCACAGCAAAATCAAAGCTCATCGAAGAAGAATACTGGTTTATTTCTTGCTTATCACCACCTCTGCTCTCATTCTGTGGATCAGCAGCATTTATTTGCAATCTATCCCTAGTGCTGTGCGTGAGACTATTTTTTATTATATCCAAGAAAAAAAAACATAAACGAAATATTGTCACAAAAATTCAATAAGAAAAGTTAAAAAAATTAAGGAAACCAAAGAAGTGAGCAAAGAAAATATTGAACTACCAAAACTTGCCAAAATGTTCATCCTGGTTAAGATGTCATAACCTTTCCAAACCAAAATCTACAGTCCCTCAACATCCAGTAAACACCATTGCCACAGACACCTTGGTTAATCATTTATCGTCAAAAACTACAAAATTCGATACAGGCATTGAGTAAGATTTCTAAAATATTTTGAAAATGTGCGGGATATCGGTGGCAATAATAGGAAGTAATTTAACCAATAGATCAATTCCGATATGTAGTATGGAAAAATGCGTAAAACGTTAACTATTACTCAATTAGATTAATTAAATTTCATTTATAAAGTCACTTTTTTTTCTAAATATGTATGCCGATAACCTGGAACATTGCTATTGTAATTTAAAAGTCACATTTTTTTATGTTCTTACCTACATCATATAGAATTAAATAAACACACAACACGACATATATTTGTTACAACCAACCTCCAAACATTCCTGTTTACATATTTACAATTCCATTAATACCGGTTTGTGTGTTTAGCTAATTCTCATGTTTCAAACATTCCTAGTTGCTAAGCGTATTAATTGTAAGCGTGTTGCAGATTTTAAATCAAATGTTTAGCAACATTGTTGATGAGAGAGATCAAAAGATTGTTGTAAATGTTGTCACTGACCATCTACTTAATAACTTAGCTGTTCACAACGAAAGGCCTTTCATCGTGGGAGCAACGAGATCAAGCAGCATTTAATGTAAGTGAGTTCTCTTATTTTTTTATTCTCATCATTTGTTCCGTTATTATCATTTCTCTTAATGGAACAATTTTAAAACTTCAGCTCTTGTGCATTAATCTCAATCAACATTGTTGAATTGTTACATTTGTAATATGTCAAAGATTTTTTTTCTTTAGAAGATACAAATGAAACATTAGGGTTGTGCGTAATTAATTTGTTTTAATTTGATCTACATTAGCTGTTAATTAATTAATTTTGAAATTTGTTCGTTTTAAGTAATTTCATTAATCCTATGGATACACAGGGTTACAGTATACACTATGATTCATTAAAATTAGTTCGTTTAAGTAATTTATTTAAATATATTGAATCTTATAAGTGAAATTAGGCTATAGTTAAATTATGAATTTTATGGATTTTGTTATTAATAAAAGCAGTATGATTTGCATTGTGTAAATTCTCTACGGTCTGATTCCTTTGTTGAAAGGGTAAGGAAGTAATGTGAAAGTTAGGGATCATATCTAATGTTTTTATGCAATGAAAATTCGGAATATGATCAGGTTGGGAGGGTATTTCGGACGCAAACCATCTGGACGTCCTAACAAGACCATCAACTAAACCCTCTAATTCTTCGCTTCTTCTTCTTTTCCTATCTTTTGAGCACGAAATTTAAAATAATTTTATGTAGCCGAGAGGAAGGCATGGAAGCTATGAACCCACACCAATTGCCACGAGCGATAAGGCCGGTACAAAACGTGCTCCAGCTTTCTCTTAAATGCCTCTAAATCCATCTCTCCTCAAATTACCATGTTATATGCTACATTATATATTATTTTTGGCGCCCAACGTGGGGCCCGAACAAGAAATATTCAACACCATTACACCTTTTATTTTGTTCGGCTTCATTTTCGTTATATCCTATACTTTATATGTTTTTACTTTGTATATCTTTCAGAGATTTTTTTTCAATTGATGGAAATTTGGAGAATCATAGATTATATATTATTTCTTCATAACCAATTATTTGTAAAGAATCTCCCTTCAATATACTCCTTTGAGGTTATTATATTTGCTCTTGATCTGATTGGAATACAGATACTGGTTTTAAAAGCTGGTCCTGACCACATATCAATTCATATGTATTAGCTTCACTTTGCACAAGATTGGAACATTGGATCAGGTACTTATTCCCTTCCATCTTATGGCAAATTTTCACTATTGTACTGTTTTCTATTTTAAATTTTCTATTTTTATTCATGGTCTAGTTTTTCTTTCACAACTTCAACTTACCCGAGAGCGATGGAATCAGACAAATCCCATAACTGTTTTGCACACATTGAAACAACTTATTACTATTTTTTTATTACATTTTGTATAAGAAAGGTATTATTAAAATTAGTATTCTCAATTAAAATTTCAGTCAGGAATATTTTTGTGGTTTGGCAGATTTTTTTTGTTTTTTTTTTTAAATATATATAAAAAAATTAAATATTTAAAAAAGGTTTAAAAATATATCATATTTCTAGAGAATCACACTTTTTTTGTTAAAGCGTGAGTCGTTTTTTCAAGTTGGCCTATATTCGAGGTATTTTAAGTATTGGTTAATTCCATCAACTAGATCAGTCCAAGTTTATTTTTTTTAGATAGTTTGAATTCGGGTTATCCAATTACACCCCCCTTTCTTGAGAATTTTGAGAAATTTTTATTTCTTAATAATTTTAATCGTTCTTATGGCTTCGAAACCTGCTGATGCACCTGCTACTTCGGAAGCTAATCGCCATCCTAGTTGTAATGCATGTGGTGAGCCTATATCTTCTGCTTCTACGTTACAAAAGATAGCTTGTAATCATGTTTTTCACAGAGCATGCTTAGATGTGTGTGTAAAATCTCGTCCTTTTTGCCCGATATGTAATGCAAGAATTTCAGTGGAGGCTCAAACTCCAAGCACTACGCAAGTCAGGACTAGGGCACAATCCAGAAACACAACAAACACTACAACCTCAGATACTTCAAATAGCACACAAGCTAATATGAATGTACCTGAAACTTCCGTTGTCTCTGATAATGTATCCAACGAAAGAATCCAGGGAATAGTTACTGAAATAGTTTCCTCTCAGCTATCAGCATTTAGTGCACAAATGACCCAATTGATTGAACAGAATATAACAGCTAGTATGTCAAGACTTATGTCCAGTACTTCGCCTCGTAACCAACCCCTGCGAACGGTGACGTCTCCTCAGCAAATGCAGACTCTTCCTGCGGTAGAGGACCGTACGTTTAGAGAGCTTTTTGGAATCACCCCTAATAATGAACAACAGAATTCTGCTTCAAATAGACCCCATTTAAATAACCTCAATCAGGGTTTAAATATGTCTGGATATGGAACTAATGCTTCGTCCGATCTTCAGACTCGTCCAGACAAAGTTCTCCAAATTATGTCGAACTGGAAACTGAAGTTTAACGGCGGACAAAATGGGCTCTCTGTTGATAATTTTATATATAGGATAGAGGCTTTGACCGCACAGACCCTTCAGGGTAATTTTGATTTGCTCTGTGGGAATGCGAGTTCCTTATTTGATGGAAAAGCCAACGACTGGTTTTGGCGGTACCATCGTTCGGTTAACTCAATACGTTGGAACGACTTGTGTAGAGCTCTTAGAGAGCAATACCAAGACTCCCGTACTGACATCGACTTACGTGAGTTAATTAGGGAACGAAAGCAAAAACCCGGGGAATCATTTGATAATTTTTATGAGGCAATCGTGGCGTTAACCGATCGCCTAAAAATTCCATTATCTGATGAGACTCTTGTTGAAATTCTGCGTAGAAACCTTCTTCCAGAAATTCAACATGAAATTCTCAATATCGAAATCAAATCCTTGCAGTTTTTGAGAGACACGTGTAGGCGGCGAGAATTTTTCATGCAGGATATGCGCCGACGACATGGCTTCGCGTCTGCGAAAACTTTACCTGCAATGAAACGAGTCTCTGAATTAGATATTGAGGAATCGGAAATATCAGCATCCGAAACTTCTAAGTCTGACGAGGTATTCGCTCTTTCATTAATATGTTGGAACTGCAAGAAAAAT